ATAAAAGGTAAGGAAAAACAAGAAATTGAGGAGCACGTAAAATGACTTTTACAATTTCGTTATTCCCGTCGTTTTGGAAATAAATGTCCATGATACAAGTGAAGAACTTCTGCATCTGAAAGAATATCTCATTTCAAAAATCGATAAGTTACGACTGAAACTGTAAGATAAAGCTAGGAGTAATCGGCTAATGTCGGCTTTATTCGAGATTAAATCTATTAATTTTGAAGTTTAATCCGTGTAAACTGCGCTTTATCCAACTTACAACCGGATAAAGTAGGCAAAAAAGAAAAAACAAAGAGTTACTTAGCAAGAACGGAAGTTAAAATTCATACTTTATTCACCAATGGAAAAAACGATTTCATAATGTCCGGATAAAGCCCGAATTTTAAGAGATTTTTCGATTATGGCAACTTTCTCTTCGTGAGTTAGGTAAAAGGTGCTAAAATTAATGCTTGAATCAGAAGACTTGAATAAAGTTAGCAATAGCAGATTAATTTAAATTAACAAAATTCACTTTACAATTAATCATTCTCTTATCATAAACTTTATATTTAAAATTATTGAGTATTTGCCATTTAAACGTGTTTACGAGATTAATCATAATATTTTATATATTCTGTTGTTTTCTTAATGTTTAAAGTATTTTTTAATTTTTGGATAGAAAAATAATTAAATTCTACTTGAAATGTAATGATTGCTACATTACTTGCAACATTTCTATAACATTCACTTATTTCTGAATTAAGATATCGCTTTAAAATACTGTACGAAAGAAAATGAATTAATGCTTAAAATATCTAAACGAGAATTTTCTTTATACTCTAAAATAGGGTGGAAGAAACAATTTCTTCATAACTTAAGAAACAAGAAAGTATCGCTATTATTAAAATAAAACTCACCTTATTATGACTGAAATCGTTGAAACTCTTCGTTCGATATTATAAATATATAAACATAAGAGAAGTGAATAGAAGTATTTATATTATATTAACACCACAACATAATATTTCTTATACGCAGATTGTCTTCTATATGTCTGATGTATAAAAATCAGCTGGTGAAACGTCATGTTTTTTTCAAAAGTTATAATATAATTGTCCTTGAATAATGCTTATTCATGAAGAAAATATTCTATGAAGTATTTTTAGTAATGCATTACTACGAATTACAATACATCTACTGATTGATGGATTTCATCAGAGCCAAAATTTGTAATCAGGTATCGAAAACACACATCGCCTATCAGAAATACACACA